CGATTTGAAAAGATACCATTATTTGTTCCTGTTAACAGAGTCAAAAGCCTTCAAGGGGTCGACAAAATGTACATGGTATTTACATAATTATAGAATTACGGAGTACCGGATGGACGACTACCAACAGTAGTGCACAGCTTGACCATTGCTGAAAAACAAACACTATTTATTCTTCTAATTATCAATACTGTTCCGTAACAATGGTTCATGTTTAAAGAAGTACCCTATAGACTTAGAGGACCTATCAATACCCATGCGTTCGCAGTCTGGCATTCAACAAACGATTCATCCATCATGCGCGTATAATGCAGCTTGTTTGTCCTGGAACGGATCATGCAAACATAAATTTTCAATTACCAAGTGTGCTGAATGTTTTATTTTTCTTACAGTTAGGAAACGCAGCGTAATAATATATGGCCCCGGTGGGCATTACCTGGTCGCTTACATGACAAGTGTATGGAAATACTTCTTACATATTTGACGGGCTAAGGGTATAGAGTTTGTGTCCTGTCATGCATTGTAACACGGTTTAACGCTTAGATTCTTTCAATAATAACACACGAGTCCGCGAACGCTGTAAACTATTCATGGGGCATTCTGTTTATAAAAAAAACATGCAAATAAATAATGTGAAAAGGAAGCTAATTTTCGAACGCATTTTATAAGAAAACATATCACAGTTAATTTTTCACGTACAGGGTATTTTTCTACCTTTTGAATAGTTTTATACACTGTGATAAATCAGCCCCAGTTCGGCTAGAGGTACGTTTCTAACTATTGATCTACACCAGTAATTTCGGTACGATGCTACACTAAGACGGCCAGCTTTTTAGAATCGTCATCTAACGTGGTTACTTCAATGACTATCTGTTTGCCCGAAGAGAGGACGTTCAGTGGTTTGATACCCACTCGCGTTTTACTTAAAGACGCTATACTATGGTACTTGCTGTTGCCTTGCCTGACGCTCGATATTAAGGGGATAAAACAAGGACTGGCGGGCTCGGAGTCAGTATAATGTGTCTGAGTGGGTTAGCACTATACAATTGATAATAATTAGTCCTGTTTTTTTTACAATGTACAAGCCGCCACACACACACTCATGTGCATGCGTGTTGTAGTTTAAGTGCAATAATTAGCCACTAAGACACTTCACTCTGAGTTTGTCATTTTTTTTAAAGCCGAACTCAGTAATATTCCACCTTTACAAAGTATTCCAGGGACGAGCTGCGAGCAACAGGGAAACAACCACATTGCCCACCGCCTTCACGGACACGAAACTATTTGTCGTGTGCCTTGGAAACATACGCATCCTTCATCTTCCCCGTAAGGCTTTGTGTGTGTGCCATTCTACTAATTTAAACGTTGATGACTTCACACACAATCTGAACTTTTCATTACTATATATTAAGTAATACAGTAAACTACGGTTATAACGAACTCAAAGGGATCACTAAATTTAGTTTGTTATAACCGAATTCGTTATAAGCATATATACAGCATATATACAACAAATGACCGGGACAAAAAAATAAGTTTGTTATATCGGTCAATTCGTTATAAGCGTGTTCGTTATAAACGTAGATTACTTTAGTATGAAACGGGTGAGGTGTGGGTTCATCGAGCATGAATAGGGACATAAATTGAAAGACACAATCTTTTCAGATTTTTTAGACTCCACCTAAACATCTTCACTATCTCTGTTGCATGTTAGCGTGTCATCATGAAAACCTGGACACTCATATTTCTTACAGTGTTGCCCGCCTACTTGTCTCACAATCCTCTCAACGTGTATACACACATTCACCTAGACTAACATTTAGTCTATGAAATCTTGTATTACACAATACCCTTCTTGACTCGATCAATAAAAAAAATAATTCCATATGCCGATTTCATAGCTAGCTTGACTTGCTTTTGTATGTGTTTCTAGATTATTTTCTTTTCATAAAATAAATATATTCCACAGTCATGGTGCAGGACTAACATTCACCCTGAACCGCCTGGTCCAGGCTAGACTTTGTATATGCGTCGTCCAGACTAACGCTGAAAGTACATTATTTTGATGGAAACAAGCAACTACATTCGAATTAAAAAGGAGCCCCAGTGATATGGGAGTTTCAGAACCTGCAGAAAATCTAGACTTGCTTAATGTAGAGTTATAGGATTTAAGAAGGACTGAGCGTAGGGGAACATTTTGACAAACGCTTAGTCTCTAAAAATGTTAAGTTTGATAGAAACAAATAGTTCCATTTAAATTGAAAAGGAGTCCCGTTGAGAAGGGACATTCGGAGGAAAATGCAGACTTGCTTCATTCAGGGCTTTTGCATACAGAAGGGGCTGGGCAGAAGTGACAATAATATGGTTCAGGGACTGTGAGACAGTCTAGCAGCTACGAGTGGCGTAAAAACTCACTCACTCACTCAGTTGGATTTACTGCGGACTTTATGAAATCAAAACATCATTGCTGTAGATTAAGCATTACCCATACATATCCCGGTAATGAGACTACAATGAGATATCCATGCTCAATCAGGGCTCCCTGATTGAACACGACAGCCCTTACTGAGCGCCTGTGACATAAAATATTTGACAGGTGTCATTCTACCTTTGACAGCTGACAAAGAACATGGTTAATAAACAAGGTTGTTAATTGAAAGAGTCGTCAGTAATGAGATTAACAGAAAACCCAAGCCATTTACACTTCAACATTGAAACATAATTTTCTGTTGTGAGCCCGTCTTTCCAATCTTTGGAGATTCGGTGAAAGTTCACAATATATGAAATAAAATTATTAACACGTCAAGTAACGTGTCACACCTGACATGGTGTCATAGAGTGCACAAGCGGTTCGCAGTTGCTATAGAAATCGGCCCCTGAAGACGACACGCTTCCAGACATCCCTTTGCTCGCTGCATCATTCGATAGAGAGCGGCGCGCCACCGCACTGAGTTACCTCCCTTGAACCGGGAATCGCTTGCTCTTTCACCCCTATCTTTGTGATTGACACAGCAGTTAATAAGTAAATTTACTTACCAATGTACAAGTATTGTGCAGTGTCACACATACCTAGCCGTGCAGTTAGGACGTGACTGTTTTGTGTATGCAAATACCGTGTCGCATCCCGGAAGTATGATAGTGCAAATAAACTAGTGGCCAACGTTTTGTCTGGGAGAGCAATGCAAATATTGATTCAGTGAAATCGGTAATGGGTTAATGAGTACGTACACGTATGGGAATGTCGTTAGTGGTATATTAAAAGGCATTTGGGGTCCCGATAATGAAAACAGTTTTGATAATGATCTTGACCACTGACCCGATGGGAAAGTGATGAGAGTGAGAGAGAAGAGAATTTACAGGAGAAGAAGGAAATGAAGTGAAAACGCGTATTTAGCGAGAAAGAAAGAATTATGCAATAGAACAAAGAAAAACAGAATGGTGGAAGGCGGAGAAGTATATCAAGAATACAATGAAGACGAAAAGTAACATCAATTAGGAAGTAAGAGAAAGGAGTGAGTGAGTTGGGTTTAACGCCGCTTTTAACAGTATTCCAGTTATATCACGGCGTGTCAGCTTAATGTCGGAGGGAAGCCCGAAGTGATGGAGGTCTAAGGCGTTTACCACTTCGGTGAAACCCACGAGCACGGGAATGGTGCTGACAAACCTAGAAACATAATCGGGGCGAACCGGGCTTCGAACCCACAACCATAGGTTTCTGGCCTGCCCAAGGGACGCACAGCGAATCGTGGCGCCTTAGACGACTGGGCCACCAGTGCCCCCTAGAGAGAGGTGGGGTGAAATGGGGTTTAACGTCGCGTCCAAGATTATTGCACTTATATAGCGACGTGCATGTACGTGTGTGTGTTTGTGTGGCTGCTTGTACTAGTCAGGACTGATGCCGATTTATAATGCTAGCTCACTGTGATACCATGCCGCAGTTTAACATGAATACCCCACTCAGACACATTATACTGACTCTGACCAGTCCTTTTTTAGCCCCTTAATGCCGAGCGCCAGACAGGGTAACAACAAGTACCATCTTTTAACGTCTTTTGGTATGACGCGAGAAGGGAAAGGGGAGCAGAGATAAATAGAGAAAGAACGGAAAGACGATAGAAGAGAAGGGACAGACAAACGTTCTGCAGATAAAGGAGAAAAAACAGGTAAGAAAAGAGATAGAAAGTCTGGAGAGAGAAGTACAGTTATAAAGTTACAAGTGGAGATGGAGAGAGAGAGAGAGAGAGAGAGAGAGAGAGAGAGAGAGAGAGATGTCTCTCGCGGTGATAGATAAACAAACACGTGATAGATGTACATCTTTTTTCAGCAAGTGCATGTATGTCGCTACATATTAACGTTCGGGCGTACTTTTTTCCGACTTTAAAACTAATTACAACTGACGAGTCCCAATGCATATTTGTCATTTCCATGTCACTCACAAAAACCGCAAAGGACCTAGAGTCGACGAGTGGGGATTCGTCATGTCATTACACAGTTATCTCATCTCGTCCCCTGAGATAGCACAAAGGTTTATTGCCAACCGAAACCTGCAGATTTAGCAGTTTTAATAAAAACTTTTTTATCCAAATGGGACATTCCCGAGCGGGAGATTCGCCTTGAGCCCTCCTAACCAAGCAGAAGAAATGACTAGATATCGAGCCTTGCCTTCAAATGCCGCGCAAACCCGATGTTCCGATAAAGTAAAAGACAATCAGAAATCAGACTCCCCTCATTACCCATGGAACGACCCGTTGAAAGTGTGACGAAAAGAGCATAAGGCATCTTCGATCGAGTGGAAATAAAATTCATTGAGTCCAACGGTCAAATAAATACGTTCCTAATCTTGGGAGTTGAAAAGCAGAGGCGATATTTCCTATGCAATCGACGCCTTCTTCCCACGTGAATACAACCTTGAGATATCTCCCTGTGCAGTAGGTTTGTACGTTTGCCCGCCGGTGTCGAGGTGTGGGAATATTCACGGCTTTACACTTCTAAACCAGCTCTAATTCATCATCTTCCACACTGAAACACAGTACTTCCCCGGTCTCATTCAGCCGTGAGACGGACTCCCACTTCTGCGCATGCGCTCTTTATTGGGGCACACGTCTGCCTCCACGGCACACGAACTCACCAGTTAAATTTGACACCCGCGGAAGATCCGAAGTGATGTTTTCAAACAAGCCAGAATCGCCAGCCGCTCGAATCCGACTATGCTTCGCTGTTCCTCGCGCTGAGGCTGAAAATTGCGATCTCTTTATAAAGTGGGTAGCGACGAAGCTGAGCATCGATACAGCTATACACATGGATACATTGTCTGGTGGCAGTAGCGCGGGCGGCTCCAACAGTTCGTGTCATGAAAAGCATTGATAAAGTTGTCAGTGTGTTATCTAAGTTTTCGTTACTATGGGCGTCTTGGGGGTAGAGTGCATCGCCATCCTGGTCCTCGTGTTTGTGTTCAGTTTGCACCTTGAGCAGAGCGGGGGCCGAGTGATTATGAAACAGCTGAGTTCACGTGTAATTAACACCAGGTATGGAAAAGTTCGAGGAATTCTTGTCGAGTTTCCTAACCGGTATCTTCGGCCGGTCGAGGCATATTTGGGCCTCCGTTATGCTGATCTTGACCAAGGAAATATGCGATTTATGCCTCCAAAAAACCCTGTTGAAAAGTGGACTGGAATACGAGTTGCTGTTAAAAACCAACCCGTCTGTCCACAAGTCACACACCACGAACGGGATTTAAGTCTGAGCTTGCCCGAGGGACGGGTGGCCCACCTAAGAAACATCACCCCGTTCTTAAGCGAACAGGGGGAGGATTGTCTTACGTTGAATCTATACGTTCCCACCAAGGGTAAGTGATATTTTCTTTTGCCATATATCAATCCATTTTGCAATTCCATATTTTTACACAAATGACATGTATATATATGTGCATGTTTTCTTTTTACGGCAAACACCATGGAATATTATGTCCATTTATGAAAATGGATATTCACTGGCTGTGGGAGTTAGTGATGTTTGGGAGATGGGATGGGGAATGCGAAGACGCATCACACTTCTTCAGACACCTACGTGTCATTCCAGTTTCAATCACGTGTACACTTCGTGCCTTGATTAGTGCGAACCTTTTTTTAACATAGAGTTCCACCTCTGAATAGTGAACGATATACACCCTTCCTACAAACAGCAAGTATAAGGCAGTAGTAATGACAATATCGGTAGTTAACGGTATGCAAGTAATTAATTAGATCCAACGTTAGGGAATATTGAAACTTTGGACTCGTTGTCTCCCGATCGAGAGAGACACACAGCAGCAACTGGGCTTAATCTATCAAGATTGTGTGTCGTTTAAAGCTAGATGCTTCCACTGTGAGTGTCGGGTTAGTAAGACTGAGTGCGATACCATGTCTGATAGTTACTGCAGCATGACCGCCAGTGTCGCAGCACGGGGATCGCCAAGTATGTCTCTCCCGTTAGCTGTATGCAATCACACGATAGGAAAGAGCAAGTTCTCGAGAAAAATAAGCGGGAATTTATTCCATCGAGAACGGAATCAATAGAATTTGCCGACTTTTTGTTTAGCCTCGTGAATTTTCCCATTTTCGGTATTCACAGAGGGTTTGAATCATGGCTTTTTCAGTGACGATCATATCCTTTTACGGAAATTTACTATTTTCTGATTAAAGTCAAAGATTGCTGGGTATGTTTCTTTTAATGACATATTTTGACACACTGACACCCGATTTAGTGTGCTTCTGCAGGTTGCTACAAATGATGCTACCAGATTTTACCACGTCCTGGCATTCCATTTTACAAGCTCGTGTTAGTAATACGAAGTTGATTGAGCTTGCATTTCTGCTCGTCAGATGTGATAATAAAAGTTCGTTGGTAAACACTATTGACAAGCTGACGGTCCCCCGTGTTTTCGAAGATTGTTTTCAGTAGAAAACATAACAAGTTATTTCCACGGCGGTGACAGCCCATGACATGAAGCACGTGCACATACCAAGCTGATACATTGCAGATGTATATTTCTTGTTTACACACGCCATGTATACGTATCACCCGTGCCAATCATATACAGCTGATTAACTGTTACAAACAGCAGTAAATTACACCAGAACCAGAGTAGCGCATTCCATAGAAATTGAACTACATTATTTAATTATGGCCTGATGTTAATGGCTGTTCACATTGCGAGGTGCTTTATCTAAACAAATCGATATGCATTTTTTCGACATCGTATGTTGCATTTGAGTACGTGTTGGTCCTTGAAAGTAATACTCCATAAAGTGATTAATTTGTACAAAGCAACGAGTTGCTTTTTTATCCCTGTTACATTGCACAGTAATTCCCGCGAATACAGACACTTGATTGTGTACTTCAAACATCTTTTTTGTGATCGCATCAAGCAAATGTCTGGGTATATGTTTCATCAGGGTGTCAGTTTTAGCAGGACATGATGCAAACTGATACTCACCTGTTAATATTTCATCGTCGAATACAATTGGGATTCCTAGTATTATACAGAGCAAGTTCTCTATTGATCTGGGTAGGAATTCACGCTCTTAGATCTGTATGCTAACAAAACTATGAAAGAGATCAACTAGCCCTGATCGGACATGCTTATCGACGGTATGCCTTGCGACATGAATCCGTGTCGATTTCAAAGTTTGGGTCGAAGTCCCAATGAAACGATCTGCGGGTAAATGAGGTATTCTTGTCTGACTATAATACCAGTAGATTTCCAACATCAATGGCACTGATGAATTGTGTTTGTATGTTGTACATTTCATGTGCATTAGTCTGATTTCATCTTGTCAGTCTCCTGATGGGGTAATGAGTCCACGAGTGACATAACAACGCTTGCTTTCACATCTTGTATATTTCATATTCATAGCATTTCATTGCTTTCTTTGACATCGTGTGTATTGGATGTACATTGCATATTCCCGTATGTCTAAATATACACATGACCCGTGAAGATTCCAGGGTAGAATTGGTCTTTTGAACAGCAACCCATGCTTGCCGTAAAAGGTGACTATGCTTGTCGTAAAAGGCGACTAACGGGATCGGGTGGTCAGGTTCGCTTGACTTGGTTGATGCATGTCATCGATCCAACTTGCGTGGATCGATGCTCATGATATCAATCACTGGATTGTCTGGTCCAGACTCGATTATTTACAGACCGCCGTCATATAGCTGGAACATTGCTGAGTGCGGCGTTAAACAACAAATAAACCAAAACATATACAAATTTATCCTGTTTAATGTACGTGTCAATTACATAGGTCAAATATTCCATGTGACTTTAGTCGTGTCAATGATTCATTGATAACATATGACTAAACTTCACAGAGACCCATGAACGTAACTGATTATATCCAAAAGAGGTACTTAGGACGAAAGCTTGCACCACCTAACCGTGGGCAATGTTTTTTTGTGCAAAATGTACTTTTAAGAAGTATATGTACATGGTTTATCTATGTACTGTGTAATACATGTCATACATTTATGTATATCTGACAATCGCGAGATTGTTGAACAGAAAGTAATATGAGATGTTTCTTAACTTGATAGAATTATAAGACACACTTGTTACAGCCGCAGTTTGGTAGATATGATGTAATGAAAAGTGAGATAGCTAGAGTTTTTTCCTTTTCTGCCCGAAGTCAGTGCCATTGGCATCTTTTTATAACACCCTTCTTTATACCGTGCTTCATGGTTCGAATGAAAGTCGGCAAGTAGTCACTTGTTTCCAAGTTGCAGAGGTCGAATGATACACATAAATATCTGAGTTACCATTATTTCATCTCGAAAATGATGGGATAGTGAGTGAGTGAGTTGGGTTTCCAGTCATGTCACGGCGTGTCAGCTTAATGTGGGAGGAAATCCCGAAATGAGGCAGGTCTCAGACGTTTATCACCTCCGTGAAACCCACATGCACCGTTACTGTGCTGTCAAAACTAGAAACATAATCGGGGCGAACCGCGTTCGAACCAAGGGACCCAACTCTGCACAGAGTGATGGGATAATTTATGAAATTAAGGATGTATATATAAAGGGATACTATTGTCTTCAAGGCCGTAGTTAATTTTTATTGACAGGGGTGGGGCACATATGTTTGTACAAGTCTCACTTGTCCCAACTTGTATTTTCACGATTCAAGTAAAGCTCAAATAAAGCTGTTTTCTATAACAAAAAATGGGGGGGGGGGGGGGGGGGGGGGTGGGGGGGGGGGGTGGGGGGGACTGCAACCCCCCTACCCCCGGCTGGCTACGGCGCACTGGTCTTTGTTATTTTAAAAGTTAAATGTGTTGCAAACTTCAAGTCCAGATGCTACCAGTCATATTTGATTACGTGCTAGCATGTTAGGTCCAACTTGCCCTAACTATGATCTACGAGGTCGTATGTGCAGTTCTACTTTCTCAACAGGGTTCACATAAGACCAGTTTACTTTTTATCATGCGTACTTGTACAAGCGTTGTTTTTCGACCGTTGCCATGGTGAAATGGTGATTAGAAGCATGTATATCCATATGATCACGTTAAAGTCGCTGTGAGGTAGATGTATTGAAATAACACCTTCCAAAGTCAGGTCCACACAACAGTCACCTCGCACTGGACGTTGGCAGCGTTTTTTAGTTGTGTCAGGATCCGCGGATCGTAGGCGCGAATCGCAGCTGATTGTGATCCTTGGGTTTTCAGTGCCAGTCCCGTAAGTTTCAAAACAAGTGGTACACGTCTGTGGCATGCTTCACTTAAGCTGACGCGCCATGGTGATATTGCTAGAATATTGCTGGAAGCGGCGTAAAACCATACTCGCTCACTCCAAGCTCAAGCTGACACTCCGTAATATAACTAAAATACTTTGGAAAGCGGTAAATCCAAACTTCCCCACTCGCTGATAGGTTCTTTGGATGTGGTCGTGTGGTTGAGGATATCTGATTAACGTAATAACAAACACGCCTCTCTAAGTGTAATGATTTCTACATTGATACAGACACGTAGTTGATTAATATGTAATATCTTCTCGTCAATGTCGCTGGCGTAACTCTATACAGTTCCCTTTTTTTAAACTCAATCCCTTAACAATTACCTACGGAAAAGCGTATTGACTCACGACGACTGCGAATTAATCGTATGTAATCATAGGACGTGTCAAGACCCATTTGCTGGTGGATATTAATTAAGGGGGTGTCAAATACCTTGTTTGATGAGAGACAGATTCAATTCAGTTGTCTCCGCAAACACAGGGAATGCATTTAACTGTTTTGCTTGTTTGAAATGCAAATTGCCCGCTTGGACGGATAGCTGCTTTCAACCTGTCATCAACGTAAATCACTCAAGGAGTTAAAGGATTTTGTGTTTGAGCGTTGTAATTCTACACGTAAGCACCTTTTTGTCTCGTCCAAACAACGAATGTGTTTGACGGGATACGATCATATCTTGCTGGCATAGAGCGTTGTCGCGTTGTCACGCTGTACTGCTGTTCGTACAACCAAATAAAGTTACTGCAACATTTTTGACGTTGTTTGTGAGAAGGTTTTGCCTTCAAGAAAAGGTGCGAGATGATGATGTCATCTTGTCTTCGTTAATGACACAAGCGTGACGTCATTTGAAATTGAGTATAGTTTTGCGCCGCTTTTTGTACGATTACAGCGAGTTGCACCAGGCATGGGTTTGTGGCATTGTTCCCATGTGGGAAATCAAACCCAACGTGACGAGCAAACGTTTTAACCACTAGGCTACCTCAGCGGCCGACGTGTGACGTCCTTAAGTACAAAGTGTGTTTCCTTGCACATGACAGGATATTGACAACATTTTCGTGTATAATTTGTTACTGTAATTG